CTCCACCCAGCCTGTACTTGTGCATCCTGGGCATTAAGCAGCTGAAAGGTAAGCACTGCTGATAAAGTTTGAAGACTTCTCTCCTACCAGATGTATGTGGATTTCAGATATTGACCTGACTTTTAATGTGAGTATCTGCAAATTTTAATGCAAGTTCTGAAGAAGGTGAAAATTGGATTACTTACAAAAGCAGGCATCTTGTGTCTTTACATCATCTGCTCTCCGTCGTGGCGTGGATTTAATTTCTTTGGCCTGTTAGTCTGGGACAATAACAACAGTTGTTATAGAGCTTTCCCTGGATAATAACGGCATGGAGGTTCTCAAGGCTGGGGTTAAAGCTTCTTAAAGCGTTAAGGGAGAAGAAAGTACAAACCTGACATCAAATAAGCAAGTAAGAACGAGAAGTCCCCATGCTGAGGAATGGTCTGAGGGAGCAGCATGAAGATTAAACTGGAGGAGGAGCAGTTGGGAATGCAGGATGCAGCTGTGCCTGCGGGGTCATCTTCCAGTCCCATGCGGCGCAGTGAAAGCTGTGGTTACTTTCTGAGCATCTTCAAAGCTGTTGCATTTCCCTCATTGCTCATCAAGCCTTCATTTTTGCCTCTTAACCCTGCTTCAGGTGTGGCTGTAGGTAAAGGCTGTCAGGGTAGTTCACAAAGAATAAAAGCTGCCACTGGTGATTAGCAGGAGAAGTGGCTTGTTGAGTTTATTAGCTCTTAGGAGTCAGTGGGGATGGTTGAGAGTGGAGTATTCCAGGCTGCTTACACTGTGGTCTGATGAGAGCCCTGGCTTTACAATGAAACGTAAAGGCTACAGCAGTGTTACTTCGAGGAGCTCTCATTCTGTCTTTGTAGTACTTAATGCAGAGGGGAAGTACGACATGTGACTTGTGTGGAGCTCCTGAGGCTCGATCCTGCGTGCTTAGATGTGAACTGCACGTTTCTAGCTTGGCAGCCCTAAATATAGAACAGAGACTTCTTATCTGAGTGACTTTCGTACCCATATGGTCTCTTTTTTGTAAGTGGATGTGGACAATCACGTAGCCTTGCTGCAGTTGCCGACGGTGTCTCTTGGGTTCATCCGTTTGATTATCACAAGACAAGAGAATTTTGTGATTACTTTGTGATTTACAGGACACTCCTGCTCTTTGTAGGGCTAGGGAAGTGAACTAAGAATACTGTGCATCGGTCTAACAATGCGGGAATTCATTGGTCCAACATGGCTTGTCACACGTTACGCTCTGCAGACTCCATGGGTTATTCATAAGTATCTTTAAAGCAGATGACCTCAGTTGTTTTGCTGAGGAAACCAGGGAGAGAGAGATTCCCAAGTTGCCTCATGAGTTAGCACATGCCAGTCCAAGAAATATGGAAGTATTTTCTATGGAGACCGAGCCTCTTTTGCCTGGAAAGGAAACACCAACTGCCTCTGGAACTGCTCAAAATCTGTGTCACAAGGGATACGGGATGGAAGTGGATGGTTTAGACTCTATGTATGTTACAGTAAGTAGAATATGTTTGTTTGTTTTCTTGGTCTTACCGCAGGTGACGGCTAAGCATATACTAGCTTATTAGTGTAATAGGGTACCAGTAAAGGTTGAAAGTCGGTAGAGTTTGGACTTACGGTCAGGAGGTGCATGAAGAAGACTTTTTCAAACGTGCCAGACGATAATTTAATTGTTTAGGATGTTGTGGCTTGTAGAAAAATCTTACATGAGGAGAAGCGTTTGCAGGAGTTGTTAGAATTTTGATGTCAGAGTGCACTTCTTGTGTCGACCTTATGCGTCAGAACTGCAAAGGCAACCTTTTGCAAGCGATCAAATGGGTAATGCTTGTGGAGGAAAGGAGTGGACGCCCTTCTGTGGGGCTGGCAGCCTGGGGTCACCCGGCGACTGCTCACCCGGGTGTTTGCTGGGGCAGGGCGAGGGTGGCTGGGGAAGCAACAGCTGCTCTCGCCCCCGAGTTCTGGAGGGCGAGGCGGGGGCCCTTAACCCTGGTTCTGCTTTCGCAGCTTCCCCCAGCACTTGCACAGGCTCCGCGGGAGGTTCAGCGCTGCTCGCTGGTTTGGGGCTTGCCAAGTCGCTCGTACGGTTTCTGGTTTTCTCGTGTGGCGACTCGCTGTGCGCTTCCCATGAAAAAACGGTGGGACTAAATATAGCTGCTTTAGAGGCGCTCCCCTGCTGTCAGGGTACAATACGGCAGGAAGGTGCCTGTGGGGTGGACTTGACCGTAAGGATGGAGTTGCATTCTGGGTTAGCGGAGTAAAACTCGTTTTCCCTGCATAAATCAAGCTAAGTCAGGAAAAGCTCTGTTTTAGTGATGTAACCACATCTCATCCTGGGGCTTCTGTGTCGTTCTAACAACAAATAATCGGTGAATTTTAGATTCTTAGAACCTTAAGCAGGTATTTTGCTTTCTGTGTGACTTTTCTGGGGTGTTGGGGTCAAGTGGAGGGATGCTGTTTGGGGTCAAGTAGAAGGGTGCTGTTTGGACTTGAGCTCAATTTTACAGGAAGATCTTCTCAGGAAGTGCAGCCCTAATTACTATCAGATTTATGCCAGGTGTCTTTCCTTTCATTTTCAACCTTTAGATTAAGCTTTCACAGCTAAGTCAGCAATCGTCCGTACTCCAGATGTTTTAGAGGCATGAGGAAGTTGAGCCTTACTTCGGCTCCGTGAGCGAGGTGATCAGTCACGGCCCCGCTCCTCTTTGCTCAATAACTTCTTGTTTCCAACTCCAGCGCTGTAGGGCAGCGCGGCGCATCCGTCGGGTCAATACAGCCCTTTATTTTCCCTTCCTGCCTAAGCGGGCGCTCGATACGCCAGATAACCTCATGGCAGTGATGCAGATGGCTCGGCGCTGAAGCGGGGACACGGGGACAAAAGACAGGGCTCCTCTTTTCTGCGCGTGTGAACGCGAGGTGGGCAGGCAGCTGCAGCTGGCGCCGAGAGCCCCTCTGTCCCCCAGCAGCACCCGGGGAGGGTCCTGCTGCGTCCCACGAGAGACGATGCAGTTATCCTGTCGGTAACGGGTGAAGTTTCCACAGACTTCAGGGAAAGCAGTTTTACAAAGTTTCTGTTAAGACCTTACAGCCGTTCAGGAACTTGAGAAAACGAAATGAGCGTTTCATTGTGTGACACCAGCACTGAAAAAACGTGTAAGAAGCGTGAGGGTCTTGAATGAGTTTGTACCAGTGGCCTGGAAATAATACTTATTTCAGCCTGTAGTTAATTATGCTGTGAAGTCGGTGTTGACTGGCATCATAGTAGTGTTAAACCAAATTCTTACAACCGCTTCTTTCATTTGGCCTCATAGTGTTTGTTTTCATGGATCCTAAATCCAGGTGTCCATGACGTTAGTCATGGCATATTGAATGTTTTTGACATATGGAATGTCTTTGTGTATTACTTAAGTATAGGCCTTTTTTAAATTTTTAAATTGGAGTGTTTTTGTGATATGCCCACGACGTTCGCTGGAGGCACACAAGCATGAAATCATGCGTCCTTTTCCTAATATTCTTTCTTCCATGCAACATGTGTCATTAGCTTAATATTCCGGGGATGGCTGTAGCTGGTTCATTTGCCCTTAAATTTCTTGTGGCCGCTTTTCTTCAACTCTTGTAACATGTTTTTCAGGTTGGATGAATTAGGTGTTTTAAGGCAAGCTTATAATTAACTTGAAATCACTGGCATATAATTCAGCGCTGGCTTTCGTTTAGGTGGTATGGGTTGAAGTGCAACACCGGGTATGACACCAAATGAAGTTTTACATGAGTCAGAATATTCTCCTGTTGCTCTGTCCGGGGCAGGCGTCGGACTTCTGCTCGACATTTTCGCTCATCTTGTGGTTATTCAGCTGTTTTGTGCCTCCAGTAGTGACCAGAACTTGGGTGGTTTTGATCTAGTTGCAATTGCCATCTTGTTTTGAAGCTCTTACAGAGCCACATTCATTCCTTTGACAGGTCTAGAAATCAAAAATGTTTCAAACACATTTTCTTTTTTATTTGAATGTTTTTTTCTAAGCCTGATGTACTTCAAATCGAGACGCGTGCTGAATTAAATGCAAATAGCATACTGCAGCGAGTAAGATGGAATTCCCGCTGTTTCACTGGGTTGTTATCATAGAATCTTTTAGGTTGGAAAAGACCTTTGAGATCATCAAGTCCAGTGGATAAAAGCCTGTGAAAAGGGGGTCTGTGAAATACAAGAGAAGCCATTCCCACCTGCAGCAGCTTAGGGGGGTGAATGGGCAGCATTTTAACAGCTGAAGTATTGTCTAGGTTAAAAATGACGGAGTATAACCTGTCTCCCTCTCTATGACTTTTTGAAGAGGACATGTACAACAAAATGTAGAAAGTTATGTTTTTAAAGATTAAGAAAATTCACAACTTTTAAACATTTCATGTGTTTTAACTCCTTAAAAGTGTTTCTTACAAAAATCCTATCAACTACAAACCAGGAATATAACTGTCAAGGCAAACACTGAGTTTTCTGGCCTTTCTGGCCCCATATCTAGATTTGTAGGGTGATCATTTTCTCTGAATTTCAGTGGGAAGGTTGCTAATAACTAATATTTAAAGAAATAAAAATATTAATGTTTCTGTTTGATCAAATTGGCCGGTAGCGTGTGTGTATATAGCCTGTGTTTGGGATTTAGCTTTTTTTGCATCACTTTGGGGTAAGGTGAAGTTTCAGGTCAATGTGAGTCAACAAATGTTTTCCCAGTAGCTGATGATAGTTGTGCATCGTGTTGCAGTGACTCTTTGTGAGATGCTGATAGTTTTTGATTGTACCTTGTCCAATTAAGGCATGTTTGGCAGACAACATACAGGTTGTTTTTGATGTTGCAACTCACCTGTCCTTAAATACAAAGAATGCCTTATAAAATGCTTAGAAGAAAGAAAAAAGCCAAACAACCCCAAACTTTTACATCCTTGGGGTTCAGAGGTGGTGGATATTTATATAGTAGATGAAATACTCAAGTACAACAGATTTTTTTTCCATTGAGCTCTGATTCAAGTAGTTTCCTTGTGGATGGTGAAGGGTATGGTTCCTTCCCTCCCTGACCCTGAGTGCTGCAGACCCTGTGACCCAAACTTGTAATCCTCGTGTCAGTAGTGTGCAAGCTCGCAATGGTGGTGTCTTGGGGTGTATCTCAGAGCTTGGGTCACCACTGTCCCCCAGCTGCCCTCTGGGAGCTCCATAGGGAATTCCCTTGAGGCGGAGATCTATGTGACAACATGGGGCTGTAAACTTCCTATTAGGTAAACTAACTGTGTGAGATTATTTTTCAGATAAAACATGAATACAGATGTCACATGTATTTTCCCTACCGTATATCACAATATAAATGTCCCTTTAAATGAATACTTTCTAAATATCAGGCCTTAAACTGTACAAGTAGTATATAAATGGCTGTTGCTGAGCAACGAGACAGATAATATGCTCTATACCCAAAGAACGCTACTGCCTTCAAGAAAATTGGTGGGTTTTGTTTTGATTCTTTTGCAAAGGTAATGCTGCTATTTCCCTCAGGTCGTAGGAGGAATTGAGATGGGTTGGTCAGAGGTTTTGCATAGCCAGCTCGTCGTGGAAATGCTCTACTTTCCAATCCCTCCTGGTTAGTTCGCATTTTTATGAAAGTAGAATAAAATCTTGTCTTTCTTTCCAAACTGCAAGCAGCAGCAGGGCTTTGTTACTGGAAATCCTCAGGACAGCCTGCGTGTCGCAGGACAGATGGCACAAATGCTAGGGGTTTCATCAGTGGAAGTAATGGGATCTCCTCCCGCCCTGTGTCTGCGGTCAGGGTATCTGCAGGGGTTACAGGTTGGTCAAGTAAGGCTTGTGTTCGACCTGTTACTCGCCTGACCTGCATCTGCTTATGTTGTTAATATAAAAGGTAAACTTTGCTGTTTCAAGTGTTTCTAGGCTCAGTATTATCATCCGTGGTGATGCTCCATGAACCGAATATAAGGGAAAATATAAAGCTGAAAGGAAATTATCCTAATAGCATCAGATGATATTTTCAGAGCAAGCCCACGCAAGGAAATCACACTGCTCAGGAAATCCTTTTCTAATAAGTTAGCGTCTTGCAAGGATACGTTCAACAATCTGCAGTGCGAACTTTTACATCATTTCGTAGTTAGGCCTTGCTAACGCTGGTGCTTTGCTTTTTCCAGCCTCATAATGCAGGCTGCTCTCTCCAGGTGGCCATGTTCAGCTAGTAACAGGTTCACATTGGTCAAATTTGGGCTTTGACTTTCACCATCTGTTGCTGTTGCGTCGGCTCCTTCAGCTAGTGCTGCCAGAATGGATGGTACTCTTTGGTCCAGACATCAACGAGCTGCTTTAGTCCTACCTAAAATTCAGGTCATGCCATGTTCAGCTAGTAACAGGTTCACATTGAATGTTTTTGGTCAAATTTGGGCTTTGACTTTCACCATCTGTTGCTGTTGCGTCGGCTCCTTCAGCTAGTGCTGCCAGAATGGACGGTACTCTTTGGTCCAGACATCAACGAGCTGCTTTAGTCCTACCTAAAATTCAGGTCATCCTTGAAAGAGAGAGGGGCAATATCTCTCCTAAGTTTCTCATGGCTCACGCCTGAAAGACTGTGGTTTTTTGAGACTGTCTGTAAATAAATAGATGATCTCTGCTGAAATGAAAACCATACAAGTTTGCTTGAATGGATGGATCTTGCTGAGAAACTAGGGACAGCTTTTTATGCATTGGCATTTTTTTTTTTGGCATATAGATAATTTCATGAACTCTTTCAGCTTTTATCGAAAGAGCTTTTGAGCTGAGAAGATAGCTTTATCTCCTTCTGCAGTGTTTGTGATTGTGCAATGGAACTGGAACACTATTAGAGTGCTGAAGCGAGTGCTGAGCTACTTGCATTGTTAATTCCGTTCTGTCAGCGATGTCAGTACTTCAAGAGGTTAATATCTCAGAAGAGAGGCTTTGTGAGTCATATGGTCTCATTTGATAGATAATTATTATAGTCTGCTGATTTCTTCATGTGATCTAAGATGAAATCATGAGGTACGAGAGGATATTGCGACTTTCTATTATATTTTCTGGTTATATAAAATTGTGGTAATACAACTAGCTTTCTGACCCGCCAGTGAAAAATGGAAAAATATTATATATCTGGCTGCTGTCTCCAGCCCAGAATGTCAGCAGGATGGTGTGGCTTTGTTGTAGGGCAGGAAGATGAGCTGCGTGTCCTCTTCATGCCTCCTCCAGTCCTGTGTCTCTGATGTGTAAAGGAAGAAGTCATCGGTGGGGACCAGGGACATACCCACAGAGAAAGTCAACAGTATTACCTGGATAGCAAAGCTAAGTTTGTTAGAGCCAAAACAATACTGAAATGTAAAGTGCAGGTGACGCTATTGCGTGAGGTGAAAGGTATCAGTATTTACCTAAAATTTCCAGGCTTTCCGTGAGTACCATCATACTGTTATCTTCCCTGTCAGCAGTTTTATTCTAGTGGTTCAAAATTTGCATTAAACTATTGCAAAGAGTAGTATCTTCATTGACCATAATCAGGCAGAATTTTGCTAAAGTTAATTTGACTCTTGCAGTAATTTTTATTGTCACTTCAGTACATGTTTAGGCTAGAATTTCCTTTGCTCTCTGGAAGGCTGATTGGTAAATCAGTGTCTCTGGAAGTATATCGTGTGTTAATATTATTTTAATGTAGTCCTAAATTGATTTCACATGCTAGTAAATGAAGAGGGGTGGGTAGTAGAGGTACTAGAAAAAGGTATTTCCCAAGGAGGCCCTTGGCGCTGTTTGCAGCAGTGGCTTTGCTTTCTGCTCTAGGGCTGGGCCCCACCAACAGCTAGGCCGCAGTGGGATTGTACCATCAGCTGGTTACATAAAAGACAGTGAAAATCCGATTTTGCAAATCATACTGCTAAATTAATGAGGTGAGAATGTTGTGAGATGATTCAGTGCCTATAATTAGGAACATCTCTCTCTTCCCTGCCACCAGCTCTTCCCAGGTGTTGTGTTTGGCAGGAGCTCAGGCCGGGCCGTGGTGCTGGAGCTGAGGCTGTCGGACGGCTCTGGCAGCTGTAGGCTTATGTCATGTCCAAGGTTCAGCTGCCTGTAGTAACCCAGTTTCTATGGTGATCTCTTTTCTGCTCGCTCTCTTCCTTCTCTGACAGCAGAAAAGATACAGTTTCAGCTGAGTAAATTAGAGGTGCCCATTTCATGCAGAGGTAGATCACGGAGGTAGAAGCTGCTGCCCGAGGCCGGACCAGGCTGCTGAAACTTGGGGTAACAGGGATTGGGCAAAGTGCAGTTGGCATCTTGTCCTCAGCTGTGTAGCATCTTTGTGTTAAACTAAGACATTTCCCAGCTTTCTGTCAGGGTTTTTTTTTTTTTTAATAAAGAGAATCCTGAAAACAGAGGTATTAGACAAATTTGGATATAGGTGTGTTTGTGAAGTCACAGGGAATCCTTTGTTAAAAAACAAGTGAAAAGTAGAGAAGACGCTGCTCTTGAGCACACGCCTTTATTCCAATAGCGCACCTCTGTTGTCGCCTCCTGGTTAATTATTTTGGAATTAGTCTGTAATTTTGTAGTTTCTGTAGGTTGGTACTTGCATTGGCACACATACTTGTTAGCACACACTTTAATTTTCACTCAGATGTGGTTTTTTAGCCGGCGCATTGTGGATACAGCAGTGCTGGGAAAAAACAGATGATCCAAGTGCTCAGGCCATGGCTTTCCCTGCTAATTTCCCGGCTGTTCCACTGCCTTTTCAGTGGCCTCCATGGCTGTTACATTCAGTGCTCTGTGAATGGCAACAGCCCATGCTGATGAATTGGGTTTGGGATCTTCTGTTTTATGAATAATTCATCAACATTCTTATCTTTGGGGCGAGTGGGGAAGAGGATGTGTACTCCAGGAGTAATACTGCGCTTCTCTGCTGAAAACAATAGCAAATATATACAAAACTAATAAAGCTCAAAGAAAAAAATCCTCACACAACCACATATTTACTGCAAAGAACAAAGTTTCTTGTCTTTCTATAAGGTAGGTTCTTAGGGCTGGCATGAACATGGAGTGAAGATGAAGGAAGACCAAATGCGCTGTTTTCTCTGCCATCAAGTGCCGTGCTTTGACAAATACATTACAGTTATTTTGAAATAATTTCATGGATTGAGAATGTTTTGCAATGTGGCTGCACCCCTAAAGCCAAGCCGCTGTTTCATGTGCAGAGGTGATGGGTGTGGGATGATCTCAGCACTCCCTAGGCATTGCAAGAGCGTCAGTTCAGGAGATACTAAAAAATGTCGTAGCCTTTTCCTAGGGTTACTCAAGAGCTGTTTTCAGATGCATGTGTTTGCACGTGCGTACAACTGTGTAGGTAACTAGGTAGTTTCCATATAATTTTAATTGATTCTTGAGCATGAGATAACCATTAAATCTGTCTTCACTTGTTTAAAAATACGAATATTCTTTCCATTTTTGAAAATAAGTAATATCTTTGTTCTGGGTTACTTTCATGAATTAAGTTTGGGTGAAAATGGTCATTAACTGGATACTAGATTCTCCTTTTCTATCATTTGGAGGCCTTTTCAACCAAACCAGATTTTTTTCTTTTGGCATTCTGGAGATAATCCATTTTAAACTTGCCCTGTTTGCAACTACAAAGGCAAGAGCTTTTAATACTTGATTTCAGGCAGCCTTGCCTGAATTAACACAGATGTGCGCAAGTGTGCTCTTCAGGGGGAAAAAAAAAAAAGCTACATAATGTTATGTGCAAATGCATTTAGAATCTGCTCAGGAGAGTTTCTCCAAGTAATATTTTGATAGCCAAGTTTTTGATCTCTCTGGAAACACTTTTTCTTTGTAGATTTTCAGCATTGAATGTGTACCTTGGAACATTATTTTGCATGGAAAATGCCCTTTTCTTCCCATGTAGGCAATGAAATTAAGCTTGCGTAGCCTTTTATTAAGAGAACAACTTATTCACCTCAGATGTACTAATTAACTTGTCTTGCTGAAGGGTTTGGCTGTTAAACAGACATTAAGAAAAAAAAGGATTTGATGTCACGTATATTGATGATTTAGCTATGTTGCAACACGGAATCACTAATCTTTTCCTGTTGTTTTTGTATTGCAGTATGCCAGGGTTTGGATCCCTGATCCAGAGGAGGTCTGGAAGTCAGCAGAACTTCTCAAAGATTATAAACCTGGAGATAAAGTCCTCCAGCTTCGACTTGAAGAGGGCAAGGTAGGTCTGCATGTTGCTCCTAAGCTGCTTGTACTTGCTCTTGACTAGAGCCTGATTGTAGCTAGCACAGGAAGCCGTATTGTCAAGATATACCCCTGTTTATGTATGTGCTATTATTCTTCTCCACCGACTTTAAGTAGTATTTTTTGTGTGACAAATTATACAGTTTATTTACAAAAATCCATTTTGCCTGATTTCTTGAAAATAAAATAAGTGTTCCTTTTACCCATCTGCCTGTTATGTTCGGTTGCATCACCTTTTTCTACCTCGGCCGTTAAAGCTGTAACCCTGGTTTGATATTCCAACAGGAACAGTGTTGGTAGGAGACCAGTGTTGCAGAGAAAGAATTGTGACCTTTAAGTTGAGCATAACCATCAGAAGACTAATAAAGATAGAAAGGAACGAGGATTAAGAGCATTATGAAAATGATGCTGTATGCGGTGTAGAGAAGTGTCTACAAAAAGCTCACATCTTTCTAGTGAAGGCCTGTTTGGGGTTTTTGTGCCATTAAAATGGTTATTTAATTCTAATATATAATGATGGTGATCCCTCAGATCATCTTATGGAAACAAAAGGTACACTGCAGTTGGTCAGATGTATATTTTTAATTTCTTTTCTCCTTACCAGTGGCCAGTTTAGATGCTACTTTCATGTAGAGACTGACATAGCCATGGAGTAAAAAGGGCAGATTATATATAATAAAATAACTTCTAAATTAAATCTTTTACTTGAATGCATTTCAGTCTTTGCCTCACTCACATTTCTTACATGGCAAGCTGAGTACAACCTTTTTAATGTGACAAGATTAACAGCCCCACAGCCCCCACATTCCCATGTGTGGTGATGCTGCACACTGGAGCATTGCATGGAGCAGAATGGGGGCGTTTGCCAATTAAGTCACATTGTGTGGGGACAAGAAAATAGCAGGTCAATAACGTAATTTTAGATCTAGGGAGAGATGCAATTAAAGCATCTACATTAGAGATGAATTTATATTTGCAAGAATTGTAAGCAGCTTTTTTTTCAGGTTGTATGCTCCTTGTGGCATTCTGCCAATGTTCTTGTGCCATATTACCGAAAAACTGGCTATAGACTTACGGGAATCTGCTTCCTCTCTCTCTTCGCTCAAGGGGAAAACTAGTTAGATTTAGAATTTAATGTATTTTATTTTATTCAATAAGGCAGGAAAAGAAAGGGGTTTGCTTAAGTTATAGTTCAAAAGATGATGCCTGTTTATGGTTGCCTGTTTTTTCCCCTTTCAGAAAATTTTTAATTATGATTTTTTGGAGAAAGAACACCCTCAAGTCATCAAATAAGTTAAATTGTGTATTGTGTTTTTGTAACTTGGGCATGTGTTGCTGGGGGACTGGCTGAGGAAACCGAAACACCAGCTCTTTCAGCGTGCGTTTCCATTTGCTTTTCAGGACCTAGAATACTGCCTAGATCCGAAGACCAAGGAACTCCCGCCCTTGCGAAACCCTGACATACTTGTTGGTGAAAATGACCTCACAGCGCTCAGTTATCTCCACGAACCTGCTGTTCTACACAACCTCAAAGTTCGATTCATAGACTCTAAGCTAATCTATACCTATTGTGGCAAGTACTGTCTTTTCATACCATAATCTTTACAGGGAATGCTTAGACAGGCAAAGGAAAGTTAATTATCAATATGTGTGCTTTTAACTTAAAATGATAGGACATGTTGGGATGTTCTTAGGAAAGTCCCTGTGTTCGTGGTCATTAAGTGCATCAGACAGACTCAGAAGTATTAAGGTTCAGAGAATGTTGACTTTGATTTTTATCCCTCTGCCTTCCCAATGGCCTGTTTATAAAATGTATATTCAGCAATTTTAGCTTGTCAGTTGGATTCGTGACTGCTTGGGGGTTCCCCTTAGGCTTGCTTAGCTAGACGTGGGCTGGAGGGTTGTGTTTCGGCTGCTTGCAGACGCCCTGTGTTTAGCATCGAGAGACTTTTAAAAGGAATGTGCTCTATGCTCATTCTGTTTTGCTGTTTGGGAAGATGTGTTGTTTTCATGTGTTCCCTAGTGCCACTTCACGTGTGGATTTGAGCCGGCACAGGCAGGACGTGGGAACCGCAAATCCACGGATGAAATGCAAAGAGTAAACCTGTTTTTGTTACCTTGCCAAGCGGGGATCCCCGAAGCAGCACCCGGGCAGAGGCACACGAGCGGGGAGGCAGGCACCGCCACGCTCGGTCCGTGCTAGAGGATACCCCCAGCCTGCAGTTTTTGCCTGCGCATCAGGGATTTCACGTGGGCGTAGTTACTTGCTGCGCTTTCATCTTTCCCACAGCAGGGCAGGAATCTCAAGCATGTTCGATAAGTTGCCTCTGGCTCTATCACAGACCAGTGTTGTCTAAACGCAGATGTTCTCCTTGTCCAACACACAAGGCTAACCAGCAATCAGTACGAGATATGTGTTTTTCAACACCCCAGCTGCAAGTCCCTTGAGCGTGTTTACAGTTTCCGTTATTTTCCCACTGCTGGTTTTACAGTTTCTCAGAAGGCTGGAAAGCCTTCAGCTCTTCATGGAACGGGTCTGCCAAAGGGCCTGGGATGGCTGAGCTTGGTCGGTTGGTTTGCATCCAAACAAGTCGCAAGTGATGATTCTGGGAACTGCGTGTGGGTTTGTTAGGAACACATCGATCCTGTAGCGTGGGGTTTTTGGTGGTCAAAGTGCGGGTGAAGGAGGTTTAACACCACCTGGTGACCTGAGGAGTGCACTATGCTGTGGAAAATAAAGTTGACATGTTGGCCTTTAAAAACCTGACCCTTTGGCCACGGACATTCACCTTTCAAACCGCTCCATCAATTCCTGTCCTGAGTACGAGCTGCTTCCCTCTGCAAAGATTACTGCCTTAGAGCTCTGCCTGGGGAGGGAGTAGTATTTGCCTCCTTAATCCGATTCACACATCAGCCAGGTTAGTTTAAATACCCTGTGAAGGTGTTTTACCCAGCTACTTTAGCCAGAAGCAGATTAAAACCACTTTAATCCACCAAGAGAATTACGGTAACATCATTCTCAACCACTAGAACTAGAACTAGAACGGATGGATGGATGGGTGGATGTCCACGGCACTAGAAACTAATTCAACCATGCTGTCCTTAGCATTAGTATGTCAAATAGGTATTTGCTTTGAAGTAATCCAAACTTAAAAACAGAAAACCTCCTGATTCTTCATTTCAAGTCAGCCTTTCACCAGCAATTCAAAGGTGATTTATAACTTTGCTTTACTGTTGGGAATATGAAATGGAGAATTAATGAAGTTGAAAAGCTACAAAGGAAAATTTGAATGCTCACGTGGAAAAACTGCTGTGGCTGTGATTAAATACTGCTGGTAGGTTCAGAAGTGTAAAGCACTGCCTGCTATGCAGGGGAGCAAGCTCAAATTAATGCTTTATTTGTATTAGTATCCTGTTTGTCCACAGATGAGTGCGTACATTCAAGATGGAAGAATTAGCCAAGGAGAATGGCTGAAAGAGTAGCTAGAGTTCAATTTAGTGTCATTGTAGGAACGGAAACAAGTAAATCTGATTTGGGAAGGCCATGAGATTTCTTAAAACGGCAATGTGATTTAGTGGAGAAAAAGAGAGGTTATGTGTAAATTAATCTGATTATAGTCTTGTGAGACAGGCTGGTTTAAAAGTTCCATAGAAAGCATATAATTCCTAACTCACTTGTTTTGGGTATTTCCAGATGGCAGTTGCTGGTTGCTTTTACAGATCACTCCTGTGGCTAAGTGATTTAATATGCTGGAGATTTGTCATGGGGCTGCTTGTTTTGAATCGAAGGGTTTTTTTTTTTGCCAACGTAGCCAAAAGCAGGAGGGAATTGTCTGAAGCCTCGCGCAGCTTTTTTTTGACTGTCTCTTTGATTAGACTCGCAAGCCTGGGAGGCTGGGCTTGGCGGCGCGGCCTTGCTTAACTTTTTACTAGTTTTTCCCAGGGGCAGATGTTAAAAACCAACACTAAAAATATTCCTCGAGACTGAGAGTACTGAGGTCCCTTCCCCTCCCTAACCCCACCACTCATTTTTTGGCTCACCACTACAGCGTTAGAACTTGGCGTCAGTTTTTGTAGAGGCTTTTCACTCGAGCTCCTGAGTCATTTCAGTGAAGTCAGGGCTGATGGAAAAACACCGGCTCTGCGTACGTGGGCGTGCCTAGCCATAAAATCTTCCCATATATTCGAGGAAATGGATGTAGGTCTCTCGGATCTCTTCCTGAAAGATACTCTGTTCTTACGTGTTTCTGCTCTGATTTGTGCTTGATCTGTAAATGCATGACAGGATTTAAAAACGGGATGGGGCTCCCAGCAGCGGTGCCAGACTACAGATGCTTTCACTTCTTTTCCCCCAGCTCTCTTTCCATTTTCGCATGGAAAATTTCCTAGCCAGGCGTCACAGCACGGTGAGGTGCGTTGCGCCAAGGGCTGGGATCTGCAGTGAGGAAGTGCGTGTGCGGGCATGTGAATTTCTGAGTAAATTTAGAAGCGAGTTGAGTGCTGTAGAAATGCTTCTGGTGAGGGTTCTTCAGCGATGGTTTGTCCAAGGTGCATGTGCACCAGGCTGTAGTCACTAAGCAGCCATCTGTACCTGCCTTGTCGCTTTTAGGCACCAAAATACATACATGTAAGAAGAAATTCTATTTTTAAAATGGCCACAGTTAAAATTAGAGTTTCTGGGTTTTTTCCCCTCCCTTATCACATTGAGGAGGAATTGCCTTGTCAAGAGAGCACAGTTTGCCTGACACGGCTGGGTCTCACGTGGCAGTGGTCAGTGTTTTCACCCCTGCACGGAGCAAATAGGTGTTCCCCACCCATCGTAGATGCAGCAGGAAAGAAAGGTGTAAGTAATCTTTGCCCAGTCATCCCCGTGGGCAGAGCAATCCTTGATTCTCATCGAAAGGAAGATCATACCAGAGGCATTTGAGATCTCCCTTTGTGGCTAGGAAGGATGTACAGAGTAAGACTTAAGTTTTCCCGTGCGGGGAGAGTAAAAGGGTGGCATGAGTTTGGAAATGCTACATTAATGAGTGGTATTAAAAAAGGCAGATATGTGTTTAGTTGGGATAGCAAAACCAGGAAATGGAAAGTGTAAGAGTTTATACATACAGGTGTATAAGATGAGGGGTTTACGGTGCTTTCTAGAGTTGTAGCTACTTAATTTCCTGAGGTGACCGCATACCGCTGTGTATCAGCCCAGTGAAATACGTCTGCTTGTGGGTTTGGTTTTTATACCCTTGAGCAAGAGGTTTTCCTGCCTGACTGATAGAGATGCCCTGGAATCCAGATTACACCATGACTCTACTCTGTTGCTTGTTACAAAAACTGAAGATGTTATTCCAGGGCACAGCATCCCGTCTGGAGGGTTAACGCACTGCACGTATCCGAAGTGGCAGTCCGCAAGGAGGTGTAGTGGGTATAATTCACAAATCACATTATCGTTTGTGATTCACAGCAAGACCCGGGGAAGTACAACGCACATTCGTTGGTTTACTGCACTGAGCAGGCTTTATTTCAAGTCGACACGCTCTGAATCTGGTTGTTTCCTGCAGGCTGGCTTTAGAACAGGCAGAGGAAGAGAAAAAGTACAAAGTTGTCCCTGATGTGTTTCCTGAAGCAGGGTAGAAGTAAAGTCTTCTGATACTTTTTGTACACAGGACTGTGGTCAGAATAAGTATCTGGTGAAGTCAGCAATATCAGATCCTTGTTCTTCTCTGGTTAATATTTTTAGAAAGGCTTGAACAATAGTTGGTGTTAAGGCCATTTTTGGGCTTGTTTTATTTTGAAACAACCATTAATTGCTTTTCTTTAATTTCCTCTGTAGGTATCGTCTTAGTGGCCATAAATCCTTATGAACAGCTGCCTATCTATGGCGAAGATATCATCAACGCGTACAGTGGCCAAAATATGGGGGATATGGATCCACATATCTTTGCGGTGGCTGAAGAAGCGTATAAGCAGATGGCCAGGTTTGTAAACCACGAGTCTTGAATTCGTTGTTTTTCTAAAAGGGGTCAGACTTAAAATTTCTGGCCGACGGCCTTCTCTTTTATTTATAGCTCAAGAAATATTTTGCGAGATTTATCTTTTATCCTGTGCTTTAGCACATTTCACAAGAGGGTAAGTCGCCTAAGTTAGCCAACAGTAAAGCATTATGAATGCCATGGAGATCCTGGCTACCGACAGGTAACAGGAATAACCACAGACCTTGTCAGTATTTAGCTCTAAAATTAGCCCAGTGCTGTCTAAGATTATGTAGCTTGCATTTGATTACCAAACTGTGGAGATACTTTTTAACCATCAGTGGATTTTTCAAGAGAAAATGCCAGATTCTTAACTGTTTCATATTTATGTGTGATACTGACAACAGGAAAAAATCACTCGCCTTAGGAGGGCCCTCATAGGCTCCTGGTCGTGTCGGTGAAGTCCCAGCTATGTAATCTGCCTGTGGCTGTTGTTGACTAGTATTAGGAGGGAGCAGAGGGACGCTTGCACACAGTGCCTGAGAACGGTGTCTCTAAGGACCCTGCAACAGCTGCGCAGGAAATCTTCGTTTCTTTAAATGTTGTGTGAAAATGAACTCATCACCCACGGAGAGCGGTTATTAGAACCTTCTCCCCCTTCACACCTAGAGCCTGCCGATTTGAGGAGCGTCTGAAAGAGTTTGTTTCTAGGGTAAAGGTCTTCTGGGCTACTGTGTGGTCTTTGGTTAACAAGCTGGTCCCTGTTATCCTCGCTGGTTAGCTGCAAGCTGTTGATACAGTCTTCCTTGTTGGCACTACAGCCCACGGTCTAATTGATCAAGTAAACCAGTGGCAGATCCCTGGATTAATTGCAGTGCCCTCAACCCGTACTGCAGAAGGGGGAGGCAAGGGGAAAATGGGTTGAAAATGGTAAAATGTTCATCTTTGAAGTTAGCGATCTGTTCATTTAAGAGTCCATAGGAGAGCTATGAATAAAATGCTGTGTATCCTGTGAAGTTAGTCAGCTGCATACGTGAATGTGGTGATTCACGATACCCACCTAACAGATCTAATTTCAGAAGAAACCGGTGCGGTACAGCGCAACATTTCATGACTGAGGGTCGTTTCGAAATAGCCAGTGTTTCAAAAATACCCTACATCTGCACTGTTGACTGGCTGAGGTTGAATGGCCTTACTTCCTTCCTGCTAAGAAAACAATCATGTAATCTGGTGGGGGAATATAAAGGCAAAACTGTGTGTTGTGAGTCACATCTGCGCTGTGGCTCTTCCAGTCCGGATCACTGGTGTGTTACAGACCTACATCACTTCTGTTTTAAACTGGCTTGCTGCTTAAGTCCCTGAAAGCTCTACAAAATAAGAATGTATTAGCCTTATTTTGCGTCTGAGGCACGGTACGGCGACCTGCAGTTATATGCCAGTGATGGATGTAATCCAAATTCCCAGAATCTTGGTTGTTATTATTAACCAGTGGAACTAAGAGGTTGGAGGCGGGGTCTCCCCACTGGCTGTCCCCAGCCACCGTCCAGAGCGGGTTTACCTCTTGCCTGTGTTGGAATTTCAAATTGCCGGCTTGGCTGCATTCTGCGTGCTTGTTGGCAGCGCTCCTGTGCAGTGGAGATGTCTGTCTGCCGCTGCCTGCACCCTCTGCCCTCAGAGGAAGACTCAGAGGGCTGAGATTTTGGCTAGAGCTTCTGCTGTGGTTTCTCTTTTTTGTGTTGATCGCCTGCTCTTCAGCTCTCGCTCTGCCCTCCAGCAGCTCTGCTCTCCTGCATAAGAACAAACGAGATGCGGTAGAAGTTCCTTTTTGAAACAAATGATGAGAAATGATACAAGCATGGAAATGATCTTAAATAATCCCTTTGCATTAATGAATGAATTCCTTTGTATGTCTACGACATGTTATAAACAAGTTATTATGCTTTTATGAATAACTGAGTACTTTCATGGGTGCAAAATGAAATCTGAGCACACAACAAAAAATGCCTAGACACTGAAATAACAATTTAATGGTTTATTTAGATTCCCAGTGTTTGTTTCCTTTTCTCTTTGTTTATTTATTTTTTGCTTGTTTGTCTGTAAGAACCTTCTCTGTCGTTTGGACACACTGGGTTTGCTCACTGGATGTCGTTCTCTAATGCTGTTTCCAATTCCTAATCAGTTGTCCTGCCCTTTAACTTCAGAGATCCTTGACACTGCACAAATCACCATTTACTCCTAAATTATGAAGTTAAAGAAAAAAAATGTGCAGACTTCTGCAGCTGATTATTTAAAAAGAAAAATCAGATTTCCTGTGACTGTTTCATTAACATTTTAATAATTACATTGAATATTCATGTGGTAGCTACTTGTATGGCATTCATCTGCATTTATGCATGTAATTGGTGGGATTTATTTTATTTTTCTGTTGTTTCTAATCTTTCCTAACTCCATGTTTAAACGATCACTGGAATAATTGATCATGATGCTCCTATCCATAAGGCTTCAGTGAGCTCTTCTAAATATTTACTCCTTAAGTCTTCTTGTTAGTTTATAATTTTATGATTTAGAATTTGTTCTTGCCAGCTTCGTTACTCCATCTGCTGTGGCCAAAAATCTCTTTCCGTGTGCATGGTTGTAATTAAATGATCTCTGTGGTCTTCAGCCATAGAAAATGCTCCATGACAGCAGTCAGGAAAGCTAGTGATTGTACACTGAATCTTCAGAAAAAATACAGTGCCAAGATGTTGATTGCTGGAATGATAGGGATGGAGCACAGAAAGTGGTACTTGGCAACTGCTTGGGGTTAATGGGAGTCTAAAACAGCACATAAAGGTACCTTCACATGTAAAATTTTCTGCACAGATTGAGCCAGATGGTGTGGTGAGCATGGCTGTGGTGTGCCTGTTGGGGCATCCATTATTTCCTCTTTCAATGGCAGTTCTGTCACCGGTTTCCAGTGGAAGGTTGGTGAAAAGGAGTAGGGCTCGTCTTTACCCCTAGCTGACAATCAAATAAGTGACTACTGTTTGCTCAGGAGCTGGTTGTCTTTTTCAGCACAGGAAAATGTGCCCAGCTCTTTCAAGACTAATCTCATGTTGGATTATTATTTATTTTCTTTTTTTACCCCACTCTGTCCTTTTCATCTGCGTATCTCTGCATTTTTCCTTTTCTCTCTCCATCTCCTCCTGCTCCTCTGCACAGACTGACAGCTTCATTTCCAACACCTTTCCTCTGCTGTCCCCAAAATAAGCAGTGAACTAGTTTTACCAGTGCATTTAAATTGTGTTGGGGCTATGCAGGCCTCACAGTTAGCAATAACTCTGTTGCTGTGGGTTGTATGATCCTCCAGACCACAAGGTGTAAAGGCTCCAGAGCAGATCTATTCCTCCATCCCAGCAGAAGATCCACTGTGAGCATGTCCCGGCAGGAGGGAGCAGGATGGGGACCCGTCCACAGGGTCCCCCCGCCTCAGGGCTCTCGTACAGAGCGGTTTGGGGCTGCTGTGGTTCTGTAGGAGCAGCTGCAACACACTGTGCTCTCAAAAAGAGCTGGGACCTGCACTCGGAGGTCTCTCTTCTCACAGACAGGCAGCATAGCTTGCTTCATTTGAGCAAACTTATACAGGTTCGGGAAAACCTTCAAAAGCCATGTGGACTTGTTCATGTGTGCCCTACTCTAGGTGATCCTGCTGTGACGGGGCTTCGACTAGATGATCTTCCAGTACCTGAAGGGGCTACAAGGAAGCTGGGGGGGACTTTTTACAAGGGCCTGTAGTGACAGGACAAGGGGCAACAGGTTTAAATTGAAAGTGGGGAGGTTTACATTAGGTATCAGGAAGAAATTCTTCTGGGAGAGGGTGGTGAGGCACTGGGACAGGTTGCCCAGAGAAGCTGTGGATGCCCCATCCCTGGAAGTGTTCAAGGCCAGGCTGGATGAGGCTTGGAGCAACCTGGTTTAGTGGAAGGTGTCCCTGCCCATGGCAGGGGCGTTGGAAGTAGATGGTCTTTAAGGTCCCTTCCAACCCAAACTATTCTATGATTCTATGATCTCTAGAGGTCCCTTCCAACCCCTACCACCCTGTGAACATGTAAGGCAGACGAGCGATGTAAAAGGAAGTCAGTCATTATTGAAGAACTTGTTTTTGTCTCGGGTATAAACCGCGGTGTCAGCGTGTGGATGTTTGCATGTGGTGAACCCTTTGAACTCCAATGCGTGCCACTGTTTTAAGTTAGCATTTCCAAATTAATAGCCAAAAAAGTTCAGTCTTCACCGTTACTCCTCTGAGGTAACTATGAAAATCGAGGCAATGCATCAGTTGGCACGTATTTGGGTTTCTTTTTTCCTTTGAAAGCATTACAACTGCAGTAGGAACCAACCATCAGCAAGTGAAGCTCATTTTCTTTGTAATACTCAGTAGAAGCCTCTGGTTTTAGCTGTAGGGTTTGCAATAAGAGGTGTTGATGATTGTACTCTGGAAACTGTTAAGAATTGCATTGATGTGTGAGACTTAAGGTTATCTGTTTCCTAACACCATTAGGGAAAACACAGGATCCCTTTGCCGGCCTAGTAAGGGTGTATTGCAGTAATTAGGATAACGGGGTTTTCATCAGCGCTTTGTTGGTTTGGTTTGTTCCATTCTCCTTGTGGCTGATGACAGATTCAGCAGAGTTCACTGCTTTTCAATTTAATAAATTAACTTGGAGGTTTCCCTGTGATTAGTTGGTAAAGTTGTCTAGTGAAGTGCGAGTTGACTGCAACGTCTGCAAACAGAATTACATGCTGATGAGATCCAGTAAAACTCAGTGATTACTGGGATGGAAAGCAGCAGTGTTTAAAGTGCCAGGCTCTAGCGTTTTGCTTTTTCTGTTTGGACAAGGTATAAGGATTTATTCAGTGTTAGTGTGTATCTCTTTCTTTAAATTACCTTTAATAAGCAGGCTGTCTCTCTGTTTTGTCAGGTTTCCAGCATGTGTCTGATGGCTCTCAGCTACAGGCATGTTTTTGTC